GTCACGTGATGCACCAACTCGGCTACGACCCGACGTCTCTCCTCCAGAAGGCTGGCGAGATCCGTCGCGTTTGGGACTTTGCCGACCTACCGCCGCTCGACCAAGCCGACGGTCTCCCCCGCATTGGCACGCTCATGGCCGCGCCTGCCGCCACGATGACGGACGATCCCGTCTACGATGGCCTCGAAACGTGCCTGCCGACACCCGACCCGCTGGACACCCAACGACGCGAGGTACGCGAGATCCTCCAACAGCGTGTGGCCGAGGCCAAGCACAACTGCAAAAGATTCGAGGCAATTCGTACTCGACGCGCCGACACAAACCATCTCAATATCGACCACGAACGCTCTTTGTCTCTGGGGACGTGGGAAAACATTCGGTGCGTCAGCCCAGCGCAAGGACTTGCTTTTGTACAATCGCCACGTAAAAGCACCGTCGTCACTCATTTGCATGGATTTTCCGTATTGAAAAACGCACTACGAATATGACATGGCTGCTGACCGAGATGCGGGCGAGAGATGGTGCGTCGTACGGGCTAATGACGTCGCCACCGGTCGTTGTCGCCACCGTCCATCTCAACGTTGTCCTGAACGTCACCATTGTGATGGGCTTGGCAATCGCCGCCGCGTTCGTCGCTCATCGTATCCACTTCTGCGTCCGCGTTCTCGTGCAACAATACAAGTCGGCCGTCGCGCCGACACGACCAGCACACAAGTGGTCGTTTTGAGTCCATATCTACATTTGCCGAATCGGATACGTGTATACAAGATGGAGGGTTGTCGTACACCACGCAACTCGTCGTTTGAAAGCTGATTTTAGCTTGCTCGCTACGCGCGGCGGTAAGAGAGTACTCGTAGTAGATAATCAAGCTCTGTGTTCCCTCCTACGCATGGTTCGGTCTACCAATGGCTTGCCCATGGCTCGACACTCCTCAGTTCGACGATGTGTGCCCACTCGGACGTCAAACAGGTGTTGTTACCTAGTACTGCGCTGCTAGAGGGCATCTACCGTGGGTACACTGTAGAGGGCAGCAGCAGCAACATGTGACGTTTTCCTCGACCACAGCTGCAAAGTGTCGATCACGTCAATCAAACACGGTATCTCAAGCGGTATGTAGCTGTTTGAACGCGATGCATGCGCATATCGCGAAGGCAGGCGGCGACGCGATCGATGGATTTGGTTGTTTTGCTTTCGAAATCGAACATGTGTTGTAAGCAAGGCCACACCTTTCTATCGTTCGACGCCACCTCGGTCGTTCACGGAGTACTTCATTCTTTGAGGTCGCGCGTCGACGCATGGGCATGCTGACGACCCGCCGACTGGACCACGGGTCAAGTGCGACGATGCAAGGCGGCCTTCTCGCGTTCGCCGGTGTCATTTTTCTTGTGCTGCTGTGGGCGATCCTACTTATGTGTCGGTCGTTCTGGAGGCACCGACGCGCGCAGACGGCCTCGACCAAGATGCCACCCGCCAACCTGGTCCGGGAGCTGCCTCCCATCATCGTCTAGAGACTCCACAAAAGGATCAAGGAAACAACACACGGTGCTTTACAGCTTATAACGTGTGGCGGTCGAACCGACAAAACGAGCTAATGTATTTGCACCACATGCGTACACAAGCGCAGGACGAGTGTTTTTGTGCAATCAAATGTTGCCAACAACATGAACGTTGGGAGGACTGGGTCGGCACTGTAGTTCACATACCAAATCAAGTCACGTTGAGAAAGAAGACAGTGAATGCTGCCGATTTCTTCATAACGAGCACACTTTGCCTGATACATGGGTGTGCTGGGTAAATGAATGATGCGTAGTACTACTTTGTAGGTATGTACCGGTGTGCGGCTCGATCCGAGATGGGCCGAGCTCAATATGGCTATATGTGTCTATATATGGCACATGCCACAACTAATGACATAAGCAGTATCTCGGGCTGTGCGACGCGCACGCCGACGTGAGTTCATGCATCGTACTCTCCAAAGTGTCATCTAGCTGCATACAAAGTTTCGTCCCTTTTGATTTTCAACGTGATTGGGTCGACAAGCTGCCATCGCCGCGCGCTCACCGCGCTCGCATCCTTTCGGATTCGTTGAAATTAGAATGAATATAGACCAATAGGTGAATTAAACAAATATATTCTATTGCATAGTACAATCCAGTACACATGATTGCATCTCGCGTGCCAGGAAAACGCGCACTCTGTTGCAGGCAGTGCTTGAATTCTGACTCACATCAAGCAGCATTTCCCTGCATTTGGGTGTATCTAGTCCGCACCCTTAAATGTACGCCAAGGGCGCCCGGTAAAGTCCGGATGATAGCCGCACCTGTCCTATCGGCCGGTCAAATTCGGTTTGTATTTTTATTGAAATGCAGATCTTATCTGGTTTACTGTATTAAATATAATGCATTTGTTTAAAATGCGGAGCGACCGGTCGAAGATCGCAGTCACTTCTGCATCACGAGACCATGCTGGCGTGGCGCAAGACGTGGGCGCGGGCGCACTCGACGGCGGCGACGCTCCTCACGACGTCTGACTTTGTCGAGTTTGCCGTGCGCTGCCGCGTGTCCGAGCCGCTGGCCTTTACGCTGCCGCTGCCCGGCAAGCCAGGCCTGACGAAGCTCAACCTCGAGACGGCGCCGGCCTCGGCCTACGAGCGCGACTCGGTCGGCCACTTCATCTCGACGCTCAAGACGGTGCGCGCCGTGCGCCGTGCGATGGGCTCTTATGCGATCCTGGCGATGGCATCTAGGTCGACCCGACGTTGACGAGCGTGTCGCTGACGACATTGGACGGCGTCACGGTCGCCAAGACAGCGAGCCTCAAGGCGCTGGCGCCGGTGCCGATGCTGCTGCGCCTCAACACGGCCACACTTGCGCTCGAGAAGGAGGGCCTCGTCGACGACATTGAGCAGATGGCGGGCGAGACCGAGAGCGCGGCCTTTGGGACCGTCAAGCGCTACATTGAGCGGGATTCGCGGACCGCGGTGCGTTCATCTAGCGCTACCTCGCATGCGACGGCCCTATGGCACTAGATCCCGATCGACCAGTTTTACACCAGGTGCAAGAACGTCGGCGCCGACGACTCGACGTCCAAGAAATGGCTCGCCGAGTTCCAGCGCCGCAACCTCGTGTTACACTACGACCAGAGCAAGGACGACGCGTTGCGGTCGACCGTGATTCTGCGCCCCAACGTACGATACTCTGTCTGTAGTGAGATCGATATGCTAACGCGGGCGAGTGTGTTGTAGAAGGGCGAGAGCTTTGCTGCGTTCCAAGCCGCGCTCGACCCGGTCTTGTACAACCTCAAGCACGAGCGCATGGCCACCGAGAGTCAAATCCTCGATGCCCAAGAAGAGTGGCGCAAGGGTATTTCAACTCCCTCTCTAGTCCGTCGAGCCTCCACAACCATCCTAATCCTAGTGGCGACCATTGAGACGGAGCTCCGCAACGCCGCGACGACCGCGCCCAACGTACAAAAGTTCCTCGGCCTTGGCTTCATCACGACCGTACAGAGTTGACGTTGGTGTGTCGCAACTTGAAAGATTGATAGTTTTACGGTGGCCTCGCGTACACGGTCTGGGACGTCTACTCGTGGGACGTCATGGAGCCCATCACGTACTTTATCGGCTTCTCGGCGGTGCTTGCGTCGTCGTTTTACCACACGATGACGAACCGCGAGTCGACATATCCCAACATGTGGAACCGCGCGTACGAGAAGAAGCTTTCGGCGCTGGCCAAGGACAAGAAGTTTGATTTGCACAAGTCCCACGCGCTCCTCGCGCAAATCAACGGTCTCAAGAAGGACGTGCAAGTCTTGCGGTACGATGCACAAGCGCGTTGCAATCGACACTCACACGTGGTTTCTAGACTCCTCGAAGGCAAGACGGCGACGCCCGCCAAGGCGGCCAAGCCCGCGACGACGGCGGCGGCGTAGACGCATCGACGCAGCGCTGGTTGTACATCGTGTGCCAACAACGAGTGCGTTTTGTGCACGGACCCTACCCCTTGTTGCGCAAAAGGTCATGGTTGACGTCGTGGTTAAGAGCACTCTATGGTCCAGAAGCATCAGAGTGCGCATGCTACACTTGTGCCTCGTCCTTACGTGCTCCAGTTGCTCACGATGTCGCTAGATAGAGTCGAACTGGATCGCAGTAGGATGTTCTCGGACCTCTCCTCTGATGCTGGTGTCATCACCGTGCGTCGGACACGGGCTCTGGCGTCTTTGCAACGTACCATGTTTAGCGTGGCGTGGACAAGTCTTTGGCTGCATGTTTAGCATTATGCGGTGGTGGTTGATTGGCAAATGCGCTAGCTCCGACTGATGATTCAGTGTCATGAACCAATTAGACCTCCTGACCAGAGACTGAGTGTAATTTGGAGGAATCCTCCATGTCGAACGTCTTGAGTGCACAAATCAGTGTACGAATTGTACGAGGAATAGTGAACTCATACGTTGGATACGGACACTATATTTTTCTCCTGCAGCCATGACAAGAGGTTCGACGTCGCGTGTCCGATCGACTTCTAGCTTCTATCATGCTTCTATGAACGATGGGTCATCAGCATTGGGTCATGAGGGATTTATACTATATGTCCCTGACCACAATCAAACGTGTTGGCGTTCAAATCAAATTAGCAATAACCAATTCAAAGAGTTCGCATACGTAGTGCTACGCCTGAATGCGTGGGAGTTGGTACCAGCACTAGGAGTGAGCTCAGAGATCCATCCCGTGGTGGACCCCACTCGCCGAGGGATAGCTCGCGCGAGGTCGCACGCAGGCTCCATGCCTCGCAGCAGTAAATTGCAGCGCGCAAAGCGTGTTACATACCGGTCCTAGTTCTATGGCACCCATGTCGAGCACGTCGAGCTCTCACATATATAGAGCTGCATCCATGACGTCGGACTGGAAAGTTGATAGCGTTCAAGAGTAGGCTGAACGCAATAATGGGCTGAACGATTGGAAGCGTAGAGTTGTGTTTGAGCCAAGGGTACAGTTAAACCCACCTGAGTTACCGGTAAACCAACGTCAATTGCAATTTTGGTCGTGCGCGTGCGTTCGTTGCGAGAAGCGTCGCACGCCGGCGGTACGTTGATTCCGACGGACCGCCGTCTCTCTGACACAACCGGCTCGTAGCCATCTGGCAATGGACCATACGTTGTCGGCGGAGACGCGCCATATCTTGTTTTGAGTATACGAAGACCCCCAGCATCCAGTGCACCCGACGCGACCACATCGCACAGCCGACGCCCCATCCCACCCGAAGTAAAGCAATCTGCAGGTACCTCGTGGCGCCTCTATCTACACTACCAATGCAGCGTGTCTGCCGCATAAGCTTCGCGCAGCACTTTTATCCATTCTACACACAGAGCATGAGCGCCAAGACATATTAGCATAGCATCGCATGTCGGCTTATCATGGGCAATCCGGAGGAATCCAAGCGTCGTTGGATACCTGATTGGATACCAAATTCTGCACCGCCGACATATCCAGTCGCGGTGTGAGACCTTCGGTAGCGTACTCGTACATGGGTGGAGGACGCTGTCACCTTTACAGCGTATTTGCAAGTGCCGGCAGTTGGTAGGCCCATTGAACGAGATACGTCGACATTGCACTTGGACTTTGCCGTTGGCGTAGGTGGTATCGACAAAGGGACGGCGGACGTTGTTTGGTCGACACCACGGATGATACGACCACTGCACAAAGATCCGCATGGCGTGCGTCACATCTGTTCCGTGCACGCGGTATGGCATACAGCACGGTCGGCAGGGGCTGTCCGAAGCACCAGTTTTCAATTCTCCACGATGCGCGCAGCTGTGATCGCATCGTACCTCGGCCTTCTGGTCGCGACCGCGGTCCACGGCGCCTGCTCGGCATTTGACGAGAATACCGACTACCCGGGCAACGACATTGGCACCACCAACCAAGCCAAGCCCGAGAACTGCTGCGCCGACTGCGCCGCGTTCGCCGGTTGCAAGGCGTACGTCTGGGTGCCCCGCGACGGCGGTGTCTGCTTGCTCAAGAGCGAGGCTAGCGGCAAGTACCCAGCGCAAGGCGCTCGTGCCGCGAAGCTTCTCGCATCCGTACCGCCACTCACGGGGTCGTGCCCGACACCCGAGGCCAACACCGATTACCCCGGCAACGACCTTGGTCGCACCCAGCGCGCGTCCATGGACCTTTGCTGCAACGACTGCGAGGCCACGGAGGGCTGTGCTCGTTTTGTCTACTACGGCGGTGACTGCATTCTCAAGGCGGGCGGCGGCGTCAAGAGCAGATTCCCGGGTGCGACCGCCGCGTCGTTTGTCCCCAAGGGCAGCGGTAACACCACGACGCCGGCACCGACCGACGGCACGTGCTCGGTGATCGAAGAAGACACCGACTATATCGGCAACGACATTGATACGACCAACCGCGCCAAGGCCGAAGACTGCTGCGCGGACTGCGTCGCCAACCCGAACTGCAAGGTCTACGTCTGGGCGCAAGGCGTGTGCATTCTCAAGAGTGCCAACAGCGGCAAGACGTCGTCGCCAGGGGCCCGTGCCGCGACGGTCCGGGCGCGTGTTCGAGGAAAACACCGACTACGTCGACAACGACATTGGCACGACCAACCGCGCCAAGGCCGAAGACTGCTGCGCGGACTGCGTCGCCAACCCTGACTGCAAGGTCTACGTCTGGGCGCAAGGCGTGTGCATTCTCAAGAGTGCCAACAGCGGCAAGACGTCGTCGCCAGGGGCCCGTGCCGCGACGGTCCGGGCGCGTGTTCCGACGTCGCCGCCGATGGTCGGGTGTCCGGCGATCCAAGAAGATGTCGACTACCCTGGCAACGATCTCACGACAACGTACCAGACGACGGCTGAGTTTTGCTGTGCCGACTGCACCGGGACACCGGGGTGCCGAGGGTTTGTCTGGAATGCTATGGCGGGCGCCTGCCGTCTCAAGACCGCAGTCGGGTCGCCCGTCAAAGCCGTTGGCAACCGCGCGTCGGTGCTCCCACGCCTCACCACGGCCACGTGCTCGGCCTTTAAGAACGACGTCGACTACCCCGGCAACGACATTGGCTCGACGAGCCGGGCGTCGGCCGCCGACTGCTGCGGCGACTGCGCCGACTTCAACGGCTGCACGCTCTACGTGTGGTCCAACGACTTTGGCGGCACTTGCTATTTGAAGAACGCCAAGTCGGACCCGTCGCCGTTCCCGGGTGCCAAGGCCGGTGTGTACACGCGGTCGGTGGCGCCGGTGCCGATCGTGACGCCGGCGCCGGCGCCGTCGGCGATTCAGACGAGCGTGTTTGGCACGTACCCGTCGCCGTCGGTGGCATTTGCGTACCTCCCCAACATGCAGTGGATCCCGAATTCGAAGCTCGAGACCGGCGAGATCGGCGACATTGACATTCTCAAGCCGTTCCCGCTGCCGTCGCCCGCCGAGATGATCGCGGCCCACGACGCCAAGCCCAAGCCGCTCCTTGAAGAAGGCACCAACACGCTCTACTTTCCGCTGTCGCAGTCGGTCGGCGAGTGCGCGGTCATGACGAGCTCGTCTGGCTACGCCTTCTTCACGTACGTACCGTCGACGCAGATCTGCGTCGTCCACAACTTTGCGTCACCGACAACGACGACGTTTGCCTTGTTCCCGACGCAGGCGCCGATGGTGCTATCGCAGTCATTGCCGCAGGACTTTCAGCTCGGTGTCGACACCAACCAGTCGTCGACGCTCGCCCGCTGCCAAGCCGGCTGCAGCAGCCTCGCGGCGTGCGCGGCCGTGACGTACACCGACAAGACGTGCACGTTTTTTGGCCCGTCGCCGGCCAAGCAAGCTGGCATTCTTGCCGGGTGGGTCTCGGACCCGATCGCGTGGAACGAAGTGCCCAACAGCATGCAGTACCTCACGATGCCGTCCCGGTCTCTGGACTTGGCAAAGTACACGACGCAAGCGGCGACGACCGCCAAGACCATCGGCGACTGCGCCGCGGCCGCGCTGCAAAAGAGGTTGCCGCTTTTTAGTTTTGAGAGCAGTGCGAAGAAATGTACGCTTGTCAAGGCCGCGACGACGGCGGCGACGACGTCGACGATGCTCATCAACTACCCAGCGTCGCCGGTCGTCCTCTCGAGCGCCGCCTTGGCGACCGGGTTGACAAAGACGTCCGTGGCCAACGCTGCCTCGGCGGCCGACTGCCACAAGGCTTGCGTCCCGTCGGCGGCTGGCTGTCTTGGCACAACGTTCGATGCGTCAACGAAGCGCTGCGAGCTCCTCATTCCGGCGTACGCGCCGACGACGACGCTTGGCTGGATCGCAACCAGTGCGCTGCCCACGGGTGCGGTATCGCCGTCGTCCGTGCACATGTTTGTCAACGCCCACCAAGACGACCACGAACTCTTCATGTCGGCCAACTTGTACGACAGCTTTGCGTCCAAGTCGACCAAGATCGTCATGATCTACATGTCGGCCGGCGACGCTGGCGCGCGCGACGGGTGGTACCAGGCGCGCGAAGCCGGCACATTGGCGTCGGCGCAGTCGTTTGTCAAGCTCTTTGGCCTCTATAACCCCGTGCGCAAGACCGACGTTATCACGCTCTTGGGCCACCAGATCACGAAAGTGACACTTGGCAACGCCGTGCACTACTTCTTGCGGCTCTCGGAAGACGGCATGTCGAATCTGCCGAGCAACAAGGCCGCGGCGCCGATGGACCGCCCGGGCGAAAAGTACGCGAACGTCGCGGCGCTTCGAGCGGTGGTCGTCGGCCTCATGAAGATGGAAGCCAAGGGCATTGGGAATGCAGTCGTCAACTCGCAGCAGTTCAAGGAGGTCGACCATGTCTTGCACGCAATGGCCGGCCAGATCGTCTTTGACGGCGTCGCGGCCGACGCGACGCTAAGCAAGTGCTTGAGCCAAAACTACTTTTGGGGCTACCAGCGCTGGCTCGACACGATCAACATGAAGGACCCATCGCTGACGACGCAGCGCAGTATGTGGTGGGCGCTCCACAAGGCCATCGTCAAGGTCTACCCCAACAACTCGCCGTGGTACGACCACTGCCAATCGCTCGGCCGTCAGTACTTGGCCCTCAACGTCGCCGGGTCGGGCAAGTGCTAATACTACGTCCGAGGAATGCGTCAACAGAATGTCCATGTGGTCGTATGGTTCCGAGTCCTTTTTTCGGTGGTCTGTAGCACTCCCTGCAGATTTGGTCGTCAATAGATTGACTGACATATTGTACATGGTTGAATGAATGCTCGATCGTTCTGTAACAAGCAACGTGATGCAAAGTAGAGGTGCTGCGGACCGGTATTACTGATACAAGGGCTAGGGTTGTCTAAGGCTAGGGGGGTAGGTACGACGGTGACATTTACCGTGCGCTGATTGCGCGTGCGGCCAAGGAACCGCTCAACCAAACGGACGTTGTCGACGGGTATCACAAGTACCTCCAGCCGATCCTCGCGTCCAAGCTCTAAGTCGAGATGGACGTTGTAGCTGTGGAAGCTCCTAAAGCTACATCGTAATATGTTGGCTGTACTCCATTGGTTGTGGTCAGCTTGTGTTCCTGCCTTGCATGGCAGCGACAGAATTGGCACTTGAAACAAAACAATTGCAAACCAGTCTAATTGCACCATGCCAGACGCGACGCAGCGATACTGTAGGCTGCGAGCTCAAATTGTCGAGCTACTAAACTAGCATTGTTTTATACTTGTACGGTGTCTCAAGCCAGGTATCGTAATGCGACGCCGTCTTCTGTGAGAAGACGGTCGAGTTAATTCAAATCAAATGCACTAAATGGAGGCATTTTCCCGCTGCCGCAAGGCGTAAGCGACGCCAAAGGCGGTCGGACGGTCTTCTGGGTGGTACGAGAGGCACTGCTTGGCCAATTGGAGGGTCCACTCGGGCAAAACACCTCGAAGTGTCGGCTGGATCTGACCTACGCAAGAGTCCACATCTGAAACGTAGAAGGTAGACGCACCGTGCATGACAAGCCCGAGGATCGACGTGTCTGTGATCGGGTTGCCCTTTTGGTTCGTCTGGTCGCTGTACGGCAGCAAGTGCGTGTCCAACTCGGAGAGAATGACGCCAAACGAGTAGATGTCCGCCGCCTCACTGCATCGTGTTCCATGAGGCATTCAAAGCATCGGCGTGTACCTGTAGTGGTTCTCGGTCAGAATCTCCGGTGCCATCCAGCGGTAGGTGCCAATGCCTATGCACTATGGTATGAAACTCGACAGGCAAAGAGTGACGCACCGATCGTCATGGTTTCCGACGTCGCGGCGCGCGAGACGCCAAAGTCGGTGAGCTTGGTGCCCTTGGTGCTGTCAAGCAGCACATTGCGCGACTTCATGTCCCGGTGGATCACGGGCGTCTCGAGCGAGTGGAGGTAGACAAGCGCTAGTACCATTCGCGTGTCACTTATTTTCTTGCCAGCAAGGATGCTACCTTCGGCGATCTGCGACGCCATCAACAGCTTGTCGGCAATGGAGAATGAAGCGGGCGTCGTCTCGTCGAGCTTGGTGCGCAGGTCGCCGCTGTCCATAAACTCGACCAGCAGCATGAGCTCGGTGCGGCGATACCAGCTCACACCAATGCACGCCACAATGTACGGCGACGAGAACCTAAATACGGCATCAAATCCCTTGTACCGACATGCGTTCAAAGATACGTGGTCATGAGCAAGATCTCTTTGGCGAAATCTTGGACATCCGACGGCGACGAGCGTCCGGGGAGGAGCTTCTTGATCGCAACGGGCGTGCCGCGGTAGGTGCCGAGCCACACCTCACCGTACGCGCCTACGTCAGTGTCGTATTTAGAGCTTGGCGCTGAGGCAGTGCGCACCTTTGGACAAGATTTGGAGGCGCTCGACGTCGTCTTCGTTGAGGCGCCACTGGGCCAAGGCCGTCTCGGTCGCCGAGTCGCGTGCCCACGTCTGCGTCTCGTCCGGCCCCGACGTCTGCGTCCGGTAGTTGGTGTTGGTCGTCGTCGTCTTGCTCGAGTGGTTGCGCCGGCATCGATACACAAAAAACGTGATACCAAGCAGCAGCACCTACATAGATGAGAGCCTGTGACGCACGAGACAAGAGCACGCACAACGCCACCGACGGCGACACCGACGATCAAGCCGACGGGCGTCGGTACTTGAGCGTCGCCCACGGTGATCGTGCGGTAGACGGCAAAGTCGAATCGTTCCGACGTCGTACTGCCCGGAAGTGCAATGTGGGCAAAGATGATAAACGAGCCCGACCGCGGAAACGAGAGCTCTAGTGGACGACGATCAAGAGGGCGCGGCGAGGATCGAAGCCTGTACCAGTTGTCGCGTACGTCGCCGAGTAGTTGGCGCTAAAGTTGGCGAGCGTGTTGGACGTGTGGTCGCGGATGTAGACGCCATTGTCGTACGCGTTGCAGACATTGTCCGCGAACGCGCACGAGTGGATGTTGGAGTGGTAGATTTGGTACACGTCCCGCGACCCCGGGCTCTGCATGACAGCGAGAGGCAGCGTGAGGCCTACCTTGCCTGCTAAGTCATCCATAAACGCATGTATCGAGAGGCGGACCAATGGTGTTGCTCAGGATCGTCTTTGGGGTGTACGAGACCGTCCAGGTCACAGGCACGGCTTGGCCGACGCTACACACAGCTCATGAGCGAGAGGCCCGACGTGTGGGCTTACGAGATGGTCGCCGGCGCGTTAAAGGTCATCTGCAGGCCGCAGTTGAGCGCTTCGGCCGACGCTTCGTTCTTGGCAGAGCTCAGCGTGGTCAGCGTCACCGACTGGCCCGTGCGCCAGCAGTAGACGTAGCGGCCATCCAAGATCGGGACTACATGCTAGCATCAGCGCAAGCAGCAGATTCTGGTCGTACGCGAGCCGAGGCCATGGGCGGCGACCGCGAGGTAGGCGGCCATGCCGGCAAGGACCGATGCTCGCATGCTGCCAGGTTGCAATTCTTGGACTGGGACCAAGATACCCAACGGGCAACTCACCTTTTTGGCCAATCAGCGTCGTGCAGAGGCCGTTACGAGCGTATCTCGTCTGGATTTTAGCCAATCGCGTGCAAGACAAGCATCCACGCGGCTCAACCGTGTCATCCGAGGTTGCCGTTTGGCGGGATCGGATATGGCACCCTGGTATGGACTAAAAACAAGGCGATATTCATAGGAGACTATAGACTCTTGACATGGGGTTGGTTTGCAATGCATGTGGCTATTCATTCTCCCTCTCCAACGCGAAAAAAGCCGCGCAGACTTCAGCAGAAATGGTGTCGTGGGATTGAATTTTTGAGGTTCTTGACAGATTACACGAACAACACAATTTGATTCAAGTAAATGGAGGATGGTAGTCTACAAGCCCGAGGGACACTATCGTTCCTTGGATGGTACGAGATCGTTAGCGCGCGTGGGGGTGCGTACTTTTCGAGATGGGTCGACCGGCTTCTGTCTGTAAAAAAGAGTGTGCTGGCGGCACATGGGCGCCCGCGGACAAGGGCGTACTCAGGTGCACGGGCAGCCAGCCAAACGCCCGCATGTTGGCCAAAAAAGATTCGGGCGGTGCATACGGACCCTGCGGCGGCACCCACGCGACGATCGGCGGCGCGGTCGTTGGCGGCGACGACGAAGGCGCACACGGAAGCTCTGCGTGAGGCTGCATGGCCGCGACGCCACTGGCGCGAGCCGCTGGTGGCTCTCGGTACGCACTTCCAGCGCCGTTCGCTTGGACGGCGCGGGCACTGACAGCACTGGTCCAGGCATGGGCGGCACGAGCACTGGCAGCTCCTGCAAGCTCGGTCAGCGATCCCGTTGTCCCCAGCTGCCGGATGGCTGGCCGTGGTGCTATGGATACCGGACCGTCTGTGCGGCTGAGCGGAGCCTGGGCGCTTGTTGAGCCTTGGATGATTCCTGGGCCTTGGGTGCTCGCTGGACTCGGAATACTGGCTGAGCCCTTAGGACTCGCTGGACCTTGAGCAGTCACTGAAACTTGAACAGCTGCTGGACTCTGAGTGCTTGTTGGACCATGGGCGATTCCTGGGTGGTGCGCGGTCTCAGGGCCCTGTGTACTCGCTGAACCTCGACCGCACTCTGGATGTTGGACACTTGCTGGACCTTGAGCACTCACAGGGCTTTGAACACTCACTGGACTCTGGGCGCTCGCTGGAGCTTGGTCACTCGCTGGAGCTTGGACACTCGCTCGAGCTTGGTCACTCGCTCGAGCTTGGTCACTCGCTGGAGCTTTGGCAACGTCGTGTGTGTTTACGATGTGCTCTATCGGAAGTTGCAGCTCGGCACTGGCGAGCGGCGTGTCATTGCCTACGGGCAGCCTTTAGCTTGCGAACAGAATCACGTCGACGCGTACGTTGAGCGCTTCGCACGGCGGTCGTCGTCCGATCTACGAGGATGCGTGAATGAATACGTTGCCAAGGTGAGACACACAGCACACCAATGTGCACAAGCCGCTTGTAGCATTTGTTGCAGTGCCAGCCCAGCACAGGGTGTCGCTTCCGTCCCGCCCGCCCGACTTTGTTCAGGAACAGTTTGCACTGCACGCCGTCCGGCCGAGGTGCACCGGGGCACTTAATTGGCATGGGTATTGGGGACGCTTTCTAGTCGTTCACGTCGCCTCAAGCGTTGTGCAGAGCGCCATGTACCTTCATCCGCCGCTCGCCGTGCGTGGCCACCGAGCTTATCCGGACGATCGACGCGGATTGGTTTAGGAATGCTGGTCATGATGCTGATCATCCGGATGACCGCTCTACGATCGGCGATCTCGTGTTCGTGAATGCTGGATCCGAACCAGGGGTACATAATTATGTACCCCTGATCCGAACCCACGACACCGTTCGTGCCATACGAAGAGAGCAGATATCAACTATTAGCACGGTTGTCTTGTCGTTGAACGTGGAGAACTTGTCTATGAGTGGCAAGATCGTAGTACTGGTACTGCTGCGCTTCGAAGTACGGTCAAAATTCGAACGAAGCAGCGAGATGTGGCGTGCCATCGTCGCCATCGTCGTCCTTGCCGCTGTGCGCGCCTACGAGGCACCTTGCAGCGTGAACGAGGTGCCATTTGGCACTGGTGCTCCGTCCAACAGCAGCTTTACGTGCGAGGCCTTGCCTGCGGTGTACAGCGCGGCTCTGACCTTTCTCGAATCCAACTTGAGTCCGTCCGATCGGCTCAACAAGGCCACGCTTGGCTTTGGCTTCGATCACAACGGCGTTGCAGTGCATGGCGCCAACCTCTCGGTACATGCCAAGGGCGAGAGCCGCTTCTCGGCACTCGTGCCGCGTCGTCTCTTCTTCGAGTACGTGCTTCCGCATGCTGTGACAAACGAAGGCCGTAGCCATTGGCGCCCGCTCTTCGCCTCGGTGGTTCGCCGCCTTCTCGAAGCGGCGAGTCCGTCGTGGCGCGATTTCAGAACGACTGAGGCCATCAACGTCATCAACCACGGTCTCTGGGACGGTGCACTCGGCGGCGCGATCACGTTTCAAAGTCAGCAAACACCGCTGATCTACGACGTCATGTCGACGATCGTCTTTGGGCATGCGAGCTGCACTGGCGTCAGCATCGTCTTGGTCAGTGCGCTGCGCAGCGCCGGCATTGCCAGTCGGCTCGTGGGCACACCAGCATGGAACGGCAGTCACGGCAACCACAACTGGGTCGAAGTGTGGTCGCCGGACGACGGGTGGCAGTTCCTCGAAGCGTCGCCCGCCGGAAGTGGATCGCTCGCCAACCCGTGCGACAAGTGGTTTTGTACCAAGAGCTACATGACACCGGCGACGCGCGTGCTCGCGGCCAAGTTCTCGCAGCGCACATTGGAGCGTTTTGTGATGGCGTGGGATCCCGACAACGTTGCGATACCCGGCGTCGACCGCTCGGCGTACTACCATCGCGTCTGCAGCGTCTGCCCTGCGTAGATTAACAGCTGCGAAAGAAAGCCTGAGCTTGTCGTGGTTGGACGACTATTAGTTTGTACTTGGATGAGATCACTTGCGGTCTTGCGCAGGTCGATTCGGATCAATACAATCGACATCGTCTTCTACAACTGGAACGGCATGCTAGGACAAAGCCCCACCGTGGGTGTACTGTAATCGCTCCAGCACGACAGAGTCGGCGAGTGCGTCCGCCTGGGCTGCGATATGTCGACGTGATGAAGGACTTGTACGCGGTGCTGAGCCTATCATGCGTTCGCAACACGACGTCGTGGGCACATAGGATTACTGTAGCTACGTGTATTATCCGTGGTCGACAGCACGCGCCCCTACAGTATCGCTGCCCCGAGTTTACTTACTAGCGATTGCTAGCTCGATTTTTTGAGGAAAGCGCATGTGGCAACACGGTCGTTGGACGCTGTCGACGCCTTGGCAGTGGAAGCAACGAGGCGACGATACGCGGAGAATGTGAAGCAACCACTGGCGTGTCAACGGCACGTACGCTTTCCCCACTTTGCATGCAGTATATAGGCAGTGAACAGGGTTGTCCTGACGACGGCTGGATCCGAACTTTTAGCCAAAAATCGTCGTCTTCGTCAAGGCTTAATTGGGTATACTGCACTCTACGGTCAGTGCTTTGAGTCAGGCTTTGAGTCAGTGGCTCCTAGTCCGCTTGTCGACAGAAGAGTCCGTACGCACGGGAGGGAGAGACTCAACGAACTGCTCGTTACACGCATGACAGAGGAAATGCCTATCATATTTCCCCTCGTTCCGCCCCGCACCCTGAAATAGCCAACTGCATGAACACATGCAGCGTCCTCCTGGCTCGGTGCTAGCGCTCGACGCTATACCTGTGATGATCGAGGCTTGTAGGAGTCCGGCTCGGCGACAGCTCGAGACTGCACGTTTGGATATCATTCAAACGCGCGTGTGATTGGCTTAAATCAACGAATGGAATCACGTAACGCATTGAAACAGGCGGTGATTGGCTGAAAAGGTATCGGGCAAGTCGATACGTTGCACGTCGAATCAGTCACCACGTGCTTCCGACCATGCGAGCCATCGCGATCGTCGCCGCCTGCCTCGCCGCCGCCGCCCATGGCCTGAGCTCACGTACAACCACTACCCGACGCTGGTGCGAGGCTAATGCTACGTGGCGTATAGTGCCCAACTTTGACGGCCACTACATCTACTGCTGGCGCACGAGCGAGTCGGTCAAGCTCACGAGTCTAAGCAGCGCCATGAAGGAAGAGATGGCCGAGGCGCTCAACTGCGGCCTCGAAATGAGCTTCAATGCGCCCGAGACGCTCACGTACGTCGCCGTGTAACTATAGCTACCGTGGTCTCACTTACGCTTCGACGCAGCGTCGGCGAAGGCTTGCCCGTGACGTGGTCCGTCTCGTACAACCCCAAGACGATCTTGACCAACACCATTGGTACGCTTTGCGCAAGTCGATCGGAAGCTCACATTTCGCGTAGACTTGAAGCTGCCGTTCGCTGTCATGCAGAGCCCGGCGTCGCGGGACGTGTACCAAATTTACCACTCCAACATCCACTCGTGCGAGTACGGCGACAACATCTGCGATGCGTACGACAATGGCGTCTACGTCCGCGACCACACACCCAACAAGCTCGCCAACTTTAGCGCCAACTACTCGGCGACGTACGCGACGACTGGTACACGCTTCGATCCTCGCCGCGTCCTCAGCGTTTTCATAGAGCTCACGTTTCCGCGCGCCGGCAAGTTTATCGTGTTTGCGCACATTGCGCTGCCGGGTGCCAATGCGTCCGAGCGCTTTGACTTTGCCGTCTACCGCACCATCACCGTCGTCGAAGCGTCCATGTCCGTGGGCTTGATCGTCGGCCTTGCCGCCGGTGGCGTGGTGCGTTGCTCCAGCGGCCCATCCAAACAAACCTTCACCATAAACTGGCAGGTGCTACTCGTCGCCATCTTGTTTGGTGTCCGGCGCTATCGTCGCCGCCTGCGGCCCAAAGCAACCGGTGAAACCTACTACACCCAAACCGCCGGCTGGGACGACACGCAGCTCTTGACGGTGCGCGACTCGGCAACCGAGACAGCCTTGGCCCAGTGGCGCCTTGACGAAACAGACGTCGAACGCACCAAGCTGCTCTCGCAAGGTCGTCCAGGACGCCCCATCGATGGCCATGGCTGAGGATGTATGCTGGTAGGCGCGTTTGGTGAGGTGTGGCTCGGCACCTACCGCGGCACGCCCGTTGCGATCAAGAAGCTCCTCCCTGGACGCTCGTCGCCGTCGGCCGTCCAAGATTTCGCCAAGGAGATCTTGCTCATGACCACGTATCTGTTGGAACGAATGTCATGGATTTGATGACGGGAGTAGGTTCTCGTCGCCGTACATTGTGACATGCATCGGTGTGAGCTGGTATCGCCGCACCGAGCTCATGCTGCTGGTCGAGTTTATGGACAGCGGCGACCTGCGCACCAAGCTCGACGAGACGACGCCCGCTTCATTCTCCATTGCCGACAAGCTGTTGATGGCGTCGCAGATCGCCGAAGGTAACAAGCATCCTTGCTGGCAACAAAATTGGTCACAGGGGGCTAGGGCTTGTCTACCTCCACTCACTCGAGACGCCTGTGATCCACCGCGATATGAAGTCGCGCAATGTGCTCCTTGACAGCACCAAGGGCACCAAGCTCACCGACTTTGGCGTCTCACGCGCCGCGACGTCGGAAACCATGACGATCGGTGCGTCACTCGTTGTCTTGCCGTGCGATTTGCACACCAAAGTGCATAGGCATAGGCACCTACCGCTGGATGGCACCGGAGATTCTGACCGAGAACCACTACAGGTACACGCCGAGTCTTTGAATGCCACATGGAACACGATGCAGTGAGGCGGCGGACATCTACTCGTTTGGCGTCATTCTCTCCGAGTTGGACACGCACTTGCTGCCGTACAGCGACCAGACGAACCAAAAGGGCAACCCGATCACAGACACTTCGATCCTCGGGCTTGTCATGCACGGTGCGTCGTCTCCACCTTGTACGTTTCAGATGTGGACTCTTGCGTAAGCCGACGCTCCGAGGTGTTTTGCCCGAGTGGACCCTCCAATTGGCCAAGCAGTGCCTCTCGTACCACCCAGAAGACCGTCCGACCGCCTTTGGCGTCGCTTACG